CCCGCCCCGCCGGCGGAGCCTGGTACCGCGGCAGCAGCAGCAGCGGCGGAGGCGGAGCTAACAACGGCGGCGGTGGAATAGGAAGAGTGGGAGGAGGAGGACGCCTCCATGTCTGAGTCGCCGCCGCCCCCGCTGGCACCGCCGCCGGCACCGCCGCCGCCTCTCCCTGTTCTCGAGCCGACCTACGGCGCACACGGACGAAGAGGCGTCGCCATGCGACGGCCTCCCCATCATCCCGTCCAGCGCCAGGATGTCGCTCAGCCTCTGGGGCGGGGGCGCCCCCGGCAAGGGCGACCCGAACGACATGGGGGACAAATGTCGAGGGGGTGACGGCGTCGAAGACGGGCCTCCTCCCCCCCCTTCGCCGCCGCCGCCGCCGCCGCCGGCCCCACCCCCCCCTTTGAGTCTTTCGTCGGCTGCTGATGCCGCCGCCGCCGCTGAGGCATCGCCGCTGCCGCCGGTGACTTCACCTTCTGCCAGGTCCGCAACGACCGAAGCCTGCACAAGGCCCACTACGTGGTCTCGGTCAGTCTCATCCTTCTCTCCCCGATGGCAGCGGTAGCGGTAAGAGGGGATGGTAGTGGTTGTGGGGAGGGTGGCGGCGGTGGCGGTGGTTGGTGTTCGGTTAGGGGGGGGGGGGGGGGGGGTACTCATAGTCGTGCATGCCGTAGTCGTTAGACCATTGACCTCGCATCCCTACAAAGCCGGGACGGAGCACGCCAGGTTCTCACCGGACCAGGCTCTCACATCACCAAGCGCGAAGCGCCGTGAGGTATTCGGCGAGTCGCATGAAGGGTGAGCTGCATCCTGCTAAGGGTGTTCGGCATCTTGTGCTTACTTCCTTGCGTACGAATGACAGCTGCGTATGACTTAATTTATTTTCTGGTGCTATCACTTCCAGAGACAGTTATAAGCACTGTGTAACTGCCTCGAGGATGCTTGACCATTTTAACACAACGTGGTGCGATCATCCCCCTTGCGCGGAGTGAGGGTTCTCCGCCCCGCACAACATGATCTACTCGACCACCATTATGGTTACCGTCAAAAAAAAAACAGAGGTAAAAAAGAAAACGGTAACCTGGTTGCCGAGTTCACGAAGTGAATTGGCTTGCTTTACAACGTCGTTGCCAAGCGACGAAAACCCAATCCCGATGGCAAACACCGAGGGGGGGGCTTGTTTTACAACGTCGTTGCCAAGCGACGAAAACCCAACCCCGATGGCAAACACCGGGGGGGGGGGGGAGGGGGGGGATACGGGGATACGACAGCAGGAGTCGGGGAACCGAGAGGAACGAGGTCCAAATCGCGTTCGTGAGAAAGGATCAAGATGTACAAAGTACGGGCAACCTTTTGCGACGTCACATTTAGATAAGAAATTGGACTGAGTTTGCACTGCTCAGAAACCGTCGCTAGGGAATAAAGAGGCGAACCGCAAGGATCATAGAGGCAATTCACCATTCGATACTACCGCCACCACGGTCACCGTTGATTTGTGTATTCGACAGCAAACAACAGCGCAGCACATCCGCCAACGCGCACCAGCGGTATTTACTTTTCCTGCCGTCGTTTGTGTCAAGAGGACGCACGCGTGTCTCTTCGAACGTCACCTTCTCTTCTCAGACTCGCGGTACACCACCCTGTACACGATCGTGTGCCGCCACCAAGGTCCGTCAATATCACAACACGCTACTAACCCATAGTGCCTGCCGCCTGGCGACTGGACTGCTGTACCATGTGATGCCAAACGATTCCTTTCTCCTACCTCCACGTGCAGCCCCTGGGCTTGCGCCAAGGCCACGAGGTCTTCGAGAGATGTCGTGTCGAAGGAAGGCACCGCCGACATGGGTGGGAGCCCTTCCCCTTCCCAGGTTTCTCTCCACGTCGCTCCCCCGAGGCCCGAGTCTAACAAGCAATCACAGCTACAATAGCTGCCTGGACACGGGGAGATTAGATGCCACAGCAGTCAGTCAGCCCCCCACGGGCCGCCTCGCCTTCGAGATAAAAAGAGCACGTTAAGGCCGGGCCTTTCCTGCCAAAAAAAGTGTTCGAAGAAAGCAATCAGGGTCTGTGCGCCGTGCACAGGAAAAACGGTGCCCCCGTGATGGCAGGTATTTGCCGCTTGCTCGACTATTAATAGCAGCTGCTCTACCAAGGTGATGCATGTCGTCAATCGTCAATACATACGCTTGGAAAACGTAAAAAATTTCTGTCGAGTTTCGCAGAAAGGAGGGGTTCAACGTTCGTCGACGGGAGTAAGTGTGCGCCTCTTGCCGAGAGGTTGGGGGTATGTAACAACACCCAGTGTTGATCAGGTGCATACATCATGACCAGACATACATAGTGGAGATAACCCCGATATGACGGCATGTATATGGTATCAGTGAAAATCGCCCCCATTTCAGGACACAGGCCGTAAATACATAGCACGCAAGGGAGAGGGTCTATTGTGGTATACTCCGTATCAACTATTGTGGTATCATCAAATATCACAGAGTCGAAATGAACATGTCGATATTTGCATGCGGTATGTGCGCCATGAAGCCGGAGCATGACACTCAGGAGAGAGAGCAAAGCCAGCAATCCCTCGTAACAAAGGCAAGCAACAAGCGCAAATAGGCCAAAAACAGCGAATTCTTGTTGTGTACTGCTGTATGCATGCCGTACACACAAATGTGTGTCTGTTGTGTTTTCGAACGAGCGGTACAAAAACATTTTTCGATGTAGAAGTATTTAATTCAGTCGTACACTGCTCTTCTACGTAGCAGTGAGCAAATCCTAACCTTCTGAACAGGTAAGGTAGTGGATTGTTTGCTATTACACTGCTGTCAACGGGTCTGCTGCCTCCTGCCGAGTTTGTACATCAGGCTGTGGATGTTTTTGATCAACGGCACAAAAAATCGACCCGAGGACCAAAAAAAAACACAGATGAACGGCATGACTTCTGGAGAACAACTACCAGCTGGATGAGCGTGCATAGCCTCTCTTGCACGGCCTTTTGCTTTCGCCCTTTGTTTCTTGACGCCCTGCGCACAGCAGCAGGCACGCATCGGGCTTGTTTCGTCGCCGGTGACCCACTGCGCTGTTCACTTGTAGCTATAAAGTGCCTTGGGGATGGCAAATGTGTGCTTGCTTGCTTGTGTGTCAGAGTTGGGAACTGCTGTGTGCCTGCGAACGCCAGGCGCGAGCTCACACTAAAACCCCGAGCGGGTCTGTGGGAACTTACCCGGCTGCCGCTTGCTAGATCCAGGTTTAAAGCTGCCGTGGCTCAGTTGTCCTGCCTGGCAGAACAAGAGCCACATCATCTAGAGAGAACGTCCCAACCAAAGTATTGTAGCGATCCTCGGCACGAAGGTGTTCTACCAAACGCGGAGTATCCATACGAGCTTGACACGCTCACCTGATGAAGCTCTCTTTTCTCCTCACTCTCGCTCTCCGTCTCTCGCTCCCCTTCTCTATTTCCGTAGATGAGCTCCTCTCTGCCCCTTGCCCTCCGTCTGTGTCGGTGTCTGCGTGTCGCGTGTCGTGGGTTGTCCGGCGGGGCTGCAGGAGGGGGGCCGCGGCTGGTATTTTTCCGCAGGCGTACGAGGGATCTGCGTTGCGAGGGGCCTCGAAGCAATCTCGCCGCCGGTGTGCAGCCCTCCTTTCTAACTGTTGCTCGCGCTGTGCGCTGTGCAGCACTACTGCCCGTCTGTTCTGTGTGTTTTAAGTGTTCTGTGTGTCTTAGGTATCCCCATAGTTTCGCACCGAGTATCTTGCTTTTGAAAACTGACGCTTAGGGCTTGGAGTGAGAAATCCGAAAGCTCCCGTCCCTCGTAGCAATCAATTATTACCACAAAGTTATTATCTTGCTTCGGACCCTCCGGAGGAATATTTGTGAAGCTTGTATCTTTGGGACCCGGACGCGAAGATAAGTGGTAAGTAGAGTCCGGTGATGATGTTTATGGGGCATAAATCTCCGTTCAACAGCTGAAGAAGCTCAGCATCATCGTCTGTGCATGCAGTAAATATTCATGGTGAGGAATGGGAACTTTTTTTTGACGCAAAATCGGGGAGCGACGTGGTCTACCTGCTTTCCGCCTCACTAATAGATCGGACTTGGCGTAAAAGTCCATAGTAATGCTCTGAACAAAGGAGCGCAGAGCGGGCCGACCCAAGGGCAAGGGAGAAAAGGCAGGGAATACCGTAATAAGGCAATAGGTGGACTCCCAATCTACGGCGGTATGTAGACCTATATTGGGAGGGACGCACTTCTTTTTACTCCCACGTCACCTATCTATTTTATTTAGCAACCAACCGCCGCGAGCAATTCTCCGGTTGTCCCGCGCGGGACCAAGTTGATTGATCGACTGCTGGGTCTCGAGAAAACAATGAACGCTAGATTTTACTTATAAATTAGACTACGTTACGGCGCAGACTTTGCAATGTTTCAGCCATGCCACATCGTAGTCACTCGATTGCCACGCGTCACCAACAACAATGACCCATCATCTCGGGAAGGGCATTCGTTTGGTAATCACCCCTTCGACTCTCACACCTCCACGCGCCCAGGTAACTATTCGGTGATGGTTCCTAAACGAACGAGCGGACATACATACATGTCGTCCGCGTCAGCCGTCACCCATCATCAACAGCAGTGTACGCATGTACACACACAAAAAATGACTACATAGTTCTTGGGTCCTATTTTCACGCGCATGCCAATCTGCTTATTATTCCTCTCTTCTTCCAAGTACGCGTAGACCTCGGCGCAAGATCAATGGTTCCACCTGAAAGCTCGTGTTCTCCCAACTCGCGGCCGGGGCGTGGGCGGGCATGTTTACGTGGGTGTGCACACTTTCCGTGAAAGATCAAAAGAATCATGTTCAAAGGTCCGGAAACCATGGCAGGCGGCGAACTTCGAGGTCGCAAACCTAGCCAACAGGAAGTATGATACAGAGGAGTATGGACAGCTAGCCTATTACAACAATGACAACATTTTAAGGGCCCAACAAAGCCCGAAAGAGGATCACCACATATCAACAACATCTAGACAAGGGAAAAACAACTGTAACAGGAGGGAGAGCACACACGCCAGCCACAACACAACACCCCACCGCACATACTACATATCCAGCCCGGCAAACGAAATCTTTGCCGCCGCAACACAAACAAACAATCGTTCCCTGAAAACATACCAAAAAGAAGGGTCGACAGCACCATTGACACACCTAAAAAGCAAGGTTTTCTAGAGCGACACAAGAAGAGAGGGGGAAATGGGGCATGCCCTGAGACACCATTGCCGCCGTTCTCTCTCTGCCGCTTGGATCAGCCACCGGCGAAGGGCACAATCTCTACTGCTGTACTACCTACATAACGTCCCCAAAGTGTAACGCGAAGGGGGAAAAGCGACAAATATGTAGGGATCAAACACCAAGGAAAGAGGTGGGTGTAGCAGACACCACACGACGCGAAAAGGCCCCTCGCAATGTGAAACCATTCGATAAAAAAAGTAAAACGACAAGATTAATATGAAAGGCAGAAACATCCCCACGCACCGTTTTCCAAGGACCACGGGCCCGTAGCACACGGGCAAAATATCCCACAGTCGCCTCGCCAAAACCCTACCCCTCCCTCCAATATCCTCTTTACCCCACCAAATCACAGGTAATTATTCCGCGCACCATCCAGCCAAATCCCCCGTATCCATAGATCCTGGTGAGTACATCTTAGTCTATGGTTTGGGCTTTTTTCACCCTGCCCCACTTACTTGCTGAGTACATCGTACTCTATGGTTTGTGCTTTTTTCACCCTGCCCGCCCCGCTGCGCACAGAACTGATTCTTTCAAGACCGACCGAACGCCCCCCACATCAACAGGGAGGATGAACCCCATCCCTCGACTGAAACGCGTGATCACTCGATGCCCTACTACTGAAGACTTGAGATACGTGCGACAAACGAGTTTTTTTTGTCTTCCCCCCGTCTTCTCTTGATCGTACAACCACGTACGCACAGCTCGTAGGAGGCACATCACTACTGTCTCTCTCTCTCTCTCTCTCTCTCTCGCTCCTCCGCCCAACTTCCTTGTTTTGGCTCGAAGAATATACACTTTGTAGACAACTATACCAGGTGCCATCTCTTTTGGGTGGGAACCCGACCCCCGCCCTCCCCCTTCTACCGCTCCACGCACCAGACAGCACCACACCGCACGCCCCACACCAAAGGTTTTCACTTCACTCTTGTTTCGCTATTCTCTCCAACACGGCCTTGGCTAAACTACCACCTCGCCCGTCCACTCAAGCGCGCACAAGTCTGCAAACCTCAAGCCGGTTGGTACACGCGCTCGTACCCGCGCCTGCGTGAGCTAGTTAATTTCGGTTCTCAGGATCATGTTCTCTCCCGCAACCAGGGCATACGCACATGCATACATACATACGAAGACCAGGTTAATATGTGCGTGTATTTTGTACGATCTAAGTGTCTATACCCCAATCAATTCCTCGCCAAGGGTATCTTCACGTGCTCCGTTTCCATTCGATGCAATGAACCACGGACTCTTTTGTTCCACTCCCTTGCACCGCGTCCTTCCTTGGGGTCACGTCGCCACAATGTCTTGCGTCCCAATGTCGCAAAGGTTGGACACGTATTGGTGGAGCCCCAGTACTGAGCTGCCATCCTTGTTCTGGATGTCTTGACACTGAAACGGAACAAGAGAGATTTTCGGGGTACAAGAACGGGCCCGCAGGTAAGAAGTGCTATTCGTCAAGAAGCAGAGGCTCAAAAGTATTTCACGAAAAATACCAAAATAGGGTCAAGAACCATAGCTCGGCGGTGAATCCTAGACATATTCTGCTGGAACATATGCATAGTAACCTGTGCTCGACAGTGGCGATACAGTATGAAACTTGAGCCTCGACAAGATTTTCACGCTTCTTCTCTCCGGGGCCGTTTTGTACGGGACGAAATATGGTATGGAATCATGGGCCTCCCAGAGGGGATGGTACGGAATCATGGGTGGGATGGGTGCCGGTTTTGTTCGGCGATCGGGCGGGGTGCAAGTCGTGTCACAAATCTACGGGCTAAGTTAGAGGGCAGAATAGAGCAGCGAGGGCAGGAGTATTGGCAGTAGCCCCACAAAGAAGTTTCTGCGAAAAGAGGGACGTGCTTTGGGAAAGAAAACTCGATGCATATTTCCTTCACACCGCGACAACCCGAGAGCTCGGGGTCAACACCGTCTCGCAGCCAACCCCACAGTGTTTCTTGTATGTAAGAACAGAAAACACTCATGCTGCATAGAGATGATGGGTTGCCACAGAGCACACTCCAGATGCCGTGCCAAAAACGTCGCTGTACCATGCACATACAAAAGGTTGTTCTTTTTTTTTTTTTTTGGGGGGGGGGCGGGCTTCATGGAAAAGTTACATATACACGATTAGAACAGTGGAAATCATCCACACGCACAAATCACAGCATCGCACTTTCGCCGGGGCCCAGCTATCAACACACGAATAGAACAGTGGATATCATCCACACGCACAAATCACAGCATGGCACATTCGCCGGGTTCTAGCCATCGACGTATCTCTCTCACCTCCTGCTCGCCGCAGTAGTTGTCTTCGAAGTCAAGAGTGAAGGTTCGGGTCGTGCTTTCTTCGCTACTGTTGTCGTCGGCGCTGCTGCTGCTGCTGCTGCTGCTGTCGTCTCCCCCGGGCGTGAAGTCCAGCTCGCCGCGGTTGAGTATCGCGCCTCCGCTGCCGGTCCCGACGTTGGACAGGAATTCGGCGCCGTGGAAGAAGAGAACCCTCCCTCCACTCCTGGGGAGGGGAAAAGGGAAAAGAAGGGTGAAAAATAGGGCAACGAGAGAACAAAGAGAAGGAGAGAATAAAGGGAAGGAGAGGAAAAGAAGGGGGAGGGGGCAGCACAAACAACGAGGATGTTGGAGCTGGGGCTGGCGCACGTATGTGAAGTGTGTGGGCGTGGCAACGGCACCGCTCGCACGTGAAAGTGGCATGGTGCAGGCAGGAATGAGCAGGGGAGGTAAAAACAGAAAGACAGGACGAGAGTAGCAGAGAGAAGGGGCTTGGGAGAGATAGAGGCAGGGATCGAAAGAGACAGAGAGAGAATGACCCTTCACACCGCGTGCTACCCATACACATTTTCATAGTCGCTGCGACCTGTAGCCTACGTCTTCCCGGTGATGGTTTGATCCCACCCGAAAACTCGCCTCTGTACTTGCAGGACAGGCGAACGACTATTGCCGTCACACGGCGGCGCTGCTTCGCATCTACTGTGGAACGTGAAGTGAACATTCAGCGCTACCACCCCTCTACCTTGGCAGCATCATCTATCATCGCCATCGTTCAATTTCCCTGGTTGTGTTTTGTTCGTCCGCCATTTTTGTTTTTAACATTCTCGGTTCCGTCGTTCGTAAAGATAACGTCATGGTCGCTCGCTTCCGTCATTGATTATCGAATCCCTCTTTGATGAAAGGTATTCATAGACCAAAACAATGAAACAAAAAAAAAAGAGCTGACTATTGAGCAACTCATGGAAAAAGGATTCCATGACTGTTTTTCGAAATCTAAAGTGTTCATTGATTTCCTTCATCCACAACATGAATATACGGTGATTCACTCGTTGATACATTGACTACCTCATTGGCAATGCAGGTTTCCTCAGCTTACGGATACAGGTGTCTATCGACTGATTTATCGACCACGGAGTGCTTCATTGACTCCCCCATTACTGTCTACGTCAATCCATTGAAATATATGGTTCGTCGACAGATACATCTGTTCGAAGACTTGTTACTGCAGTTGTCGATTCATTTTCTCATCCGCAAAAAAGATTTGTCATTCACTCACTCTTCCACGTTCTTCATTGGCGCAACAACTACTGTAGACTTACCCATCGATCGAATGTTGCATTGGCTGATACAGGTGTTCTCTACTTTCTGACACAAGTGTCTAGGGAAGTAATGCATTTGACAATAACGCTTTTCATTGACTCTATCATTGGAAATGAAAATGCCCCCTCAGCAATTTTCATTTATTCATTGACGAACTCATGGATAACATGGATTTTACGGTGACTTGCTCATTTGAAACCACTCGTTGATGACAAAGCATTTCATTGTTTGCTTCATTGATTCATTCACTAACTTCATGGATGGCGGTAATTCTAGACTGAAAAATATTCACTCATTGGAATCACCCTCTGGTTCATTGGCAAACCCATTGAGTTATTGGCCAGTGTCTTACGTGGGTGATGCTCGGTTTCATTATACAGGTTGGCGATACCGTGTACTCGGTTTCATGAAATGACATAGGCGTTCATCGACTCACTCGTTCACGACAATGTTTCAAGGAAATGAATGTGTTCATGGGCTGATACAGGCGATGCGCGATTTCCATGATACAAAGGTTTTTCACTTCTTGGGCTCACAACCCGGTGATATGTCGATCAACTCATTGAAAAATATTCCGTTGACCGGTATGGTAGTGTTCCCACATTTGTTACCATCGATGCTCATCGAGAACTATGTCCTATACGACACGAGTGAGTGTCCACCCTCTGGACCAATTTTCAATGCTCGATTTTTCAACAGCAGAAAGATTCGCAACCAAAGCCCGATTCTCAACAGCAGAAAAAATAGCAAAAGCGACGAAAACGGCGGCGTTGAAGCCGTCTCGTCAAGAACTTTCCGAAAATGACCGTTTCGTTGTTGCATCTTTTTCGTCGTTTCGTAATCGAGGTTTGAAAATCAGACCAGCGGTGCGTTCTCGTGTGTAAAATGCGGTTACTCGTTGCTTGAGTGATTGTTGACTGATACAGGTGAACGTTCATTTACTGCAAAAGTGATCCTCGACTTACTGTGCAGGTTTTCATTGACTTCCTCTTTAACAACAATTTGTTATGTGGCTCACGCTTGGAACCATTTGTTGTTCTTTGACTCACTCATTTAAAAAAATAATCATTTGACATATTCACTCCATGATCTCGAAATTTTCGTTGACTCACTTCACTCATTGCAAATAGATTTACACTTCGTCAATTGACTCATTGGCAACAACGATTGTCATTGACTCGCTCCACTCATTCATAATACTGTTCATTTAATTTTCCTCCTCATTTTATCCTTGACTCACTTCACTCACACCGTTCATTTTTTATACTCACTCGTATTTTTCTTGACTCACTTCACTCATTGACATAAATCGTTGGTGGTCCATTCAACTGACTCACTCATTGATAAATCCCCCGCCATCCATGACGGCGGTGTTGTCTCGAACGCTGACCTCCCCTCGGAACACCATCCTCCCGGCGTTCAGCAGGGCCCCGGCTTGGTAGCCACTGGTCCATGCCAGGATTGCGACATATTGACGACACGACAAGCGCGATCGAGGGGGGTAGGAAGCGGTTACGCATGTACAATTGTGAACCGTTTGTCAGCACTTTCCACATACGAAACAAACACGTGCGAATTCCAAGGGGGGCATTTGTATGCAGCGCTGCTCCTGCACGTTGTTTCTGACACCGTGGAACTTTCTCAACTCAGTGACATCCATTGCCCAATAAAAAAAAATAGCTGTGGTCTTCACGATACTTCCGTCATTTTTTCGCTCTTGCCACGAAGGACGAGGCCAAGAAATACTGCGGAGCGCAACATCTGCGTGACGGAAAAAGGTTCTGGGTTGCTTTTGGCTTTGGCGTACGAAACAGCAGCAAGCACAAAAGCCAAAAAGGAAAGGGTTGCCTCCCGTTATGGTCCTCCCATGTTCCGTGTAGATGGATGGGGGTGTGGGTGGAGAAGGAGGGAGAACCGTAAATGGTACCAGAGACGAAACAGTTGAGAATGCTACATGAAGGAGAATGGAATCTCACAAACACACCTGTTTCCTTCCCATGACACCATTGCTGTGCAGAACACAACTGAATCAGCCTGGTTCCAGACCGCTCCCGCTACGCTGCTTTCATCCTCCTGGGGTGGAGAGAATCCATCGAATCCAAAGACGGGGACGGCCGGGGGGAGAGAGCGTAGAAGAAAATCAAAAAGGGAAGCGCGTGAGTGAAGGGCATGAGGAGAACGTATGCGAAGGGGAAGAGGAGCGACAAACCCAGAACGAAGCGCATGCCTGAGTGCGTGCGAGCGTTGAGGGGTTCACCGTCCCATAGAAAAAAAAAAAGTAGAAACCCGTGTACGGCCGGTGTTACTCTTTTTCGCGGTTCAATATATATTTCATTTCCTCGGTGACGTGTGATCTGTTCTGGAGATTTGCGTATCTCTTGTTTCATTGTTACCTGCGAGACGTTGTCTATAATGGACATCTCCTGCCCCACGGCCACCCTGCCCCCGGCGGAGTTCACGAAGGCGGAACCGTCCTGAAGCGGCGGACGAACGAAAGATGGGAGAAGGAAGGAAGGGGAGAAGGAAGGAAGGAAAAGAAGGAAATAGAGAAAGGACGAAAAAGAGAAGGAAGGACAACAGGAAGGAAAGAAAGAAAGAACAAAGGAAAGAAGGAAAGAAGGAAAGAAGGAAAGACGGAAAGAAGGAAAGAAGGAATGAAGGAGGGAAGGAAAAGGAGGACATAAAACAAGAAAGAAGGAAAGAAGGAACGGACGAAAACGAGAAGGAAAGAAGGAAAAAAAACAAAGAATAAAATAACAAGGAAGGACGACAAGAAAGAAAGAAATAACGAAGGAAAGAAGGAAAGACGGAAAGAAGGAGAGAGGCAAAAGGAGGACATAAAACAAGAAAGAACGAAAGAACGAAAGAACGAAAGAAAGAGAGAAAGGAACAAGGATGGAGAAACGTGAGCTTGTAGGAGTGCAAGAACAGCATGTTCAGGACTGCGATTAGCGAGAGCGGACGAAGTAATATAATATATATTTATATTGTGGCACTTCGTCGTCGTGGATGTTTGTTGTCAGCGGTTTCGAGGCCTTGTGTCTACCAATCACGAAAAACCCGTGTGAAAAGAAACTCTAGACTGAACTTGTTACGGAGAGAAATTTCTTCTTGAGATACGTTTTACACCAATGGCGAGGGGTGTCGGCAAGGCCCGTCGAGTTGGTATCGCATCTGGGCTAACGAGTAACGATCGGGCGAATGAGCGGCTCGCCCGCGGCACGTGCTTGAATACAAGCCACCTATACACAGGTGGAGGTCGACCCCCCTTCCCCAAAATGTCGGATGCCTTCGCCCCCTTGTGGAGACCTTCACAAGGGGGCGAGGACATCCGACATTTTGGGGAAGGGGGGTGGATGTCCACCTCTGTACCATCTCAGGCCAACTTCCTCCCCGCTCTCTCTCCTTCTCCCCTCCCAAGTCCTTCCCGCCTTCTGTTTCGCTTCCTCTCTCTCTCGACCTCGCGATCTCGGTCTGTGTGTCTTTGCCTCTCTCGCTCTCTCGTTCTCTCCCCCCCCCCCGTCTCTCTCTGTGTCTCCCTCGAGCGCCCCCATCGTCCATAGAACCCTTAGTTCGCGTTCTTTTGCCGCTACAAGACTGCCATCTTTCATCAGTCAGCCTGCTAGCGCGGTCGATGTTGATAACGAAAAACACACGAACACGGCAAGTACACACACTCACGAAAGCTTCGTTCTGGGAAAAGGTCGAAGTTCCCTCGAACCGGACGAGCCCCCCCTGGTTGAACACGCCTCCTCCCCCGCCACTGCCCTCGACCTGCGAGAAACAAACGCAAAAAAAAGGGGTGTTGCGCACCATGTACAATTGTCAGAGAATATAGAGAAAAATGAGGGAGCCAGAAAAAAAAAAAAACATTTGAACAAGTTTCCATAAAAAGGGTGGACGGGGCACGTACAGCTACGACCCCGCGCTCGTGGACAGATTCTCATGTACCCCACCGATTCCGTTGAGGAAATCTAGGCCTCGGTACTGCCGTAGCTTCTTCTCACGGAGGTAGTTAGGAAAACAAACACCCCTCGTTACATCGAAGGGTGCATGCCCCCATGTCATAATTCTTGAGCTACATGTACAACAACGTAGCGTCCAGCAGAGAATTAGCGTTGTTTGTGGATGCCTGGCGTAGTTCGTGAATAGCGGGGATCTACATAGTCCCCCACCACGTACCACGTTGAGAGTGAAGGTCGCCTCTTGGCCGAACTTGACGAAGCCCTCGTTCCACAAACCGCCTCCGTTTCCGCCGCCCTCGACCCCGTTGCCCTCCAGGTTCGCTCCCGCATCGAACAGTATCCTAACAAATGTGATCATCACACATCGGCGTACGTCGTACACAGGAAAAGAGGAAGGAGTTGCTATCGATTCCGAGGCATGTACTGCTGTACGACTCGCCGGGTCATCCACAAACCTAGGGCCCCCTCCAGGCTTGGCTTCGGAAGATTTTTGTGCATGACTCCCGATGAATCTTAATCTTCTGGATCAGACCCAAACTACTTCAGAGGGCCAGCTCTGGAAAGGGGGGGATACTAAACCAAGCCAACCCTGGCGATGCCATGTGCTTTGATCAGGGGACGTTCGGTTGCCATCCCCGGACTACAGCGGGGGAGACACTGCACTTCCATCCCCGACGGGGCCCCCTATGCGTATTGCTATATGAACCAAACTGGGATAAAGAGCCAATGAGCCAAACAATTGCGGGGGGGCGGTATGGTATGTAGCTGTGCCTACCGAGTTGCCTCCGCCAGCCTCACCCTCGTGCTGCAGGGGTTCTATCCGCCATCAATTTTTTATTTTCTTCGTGACACCTCCTTTGCTCTCAAGAACATCGCCAAAAAGTGTGTTGAGAATAACGCACAAGATTCGAGGGAAAACCGGCCATAATACGCAGGAACACCCTAGTGGGCGTACAAGACATTAAATCTACCAATTTGACGGAATCCCCATCGTCCGTGTGGCCAAATTGGATACGGCGTCCGCCTACGAAGCGGGAGATTCCGGGTTCGACCCCCGGCATGGATTTGTTTTTCTCTCTTTTAGCACTGTCGGCAGCTCCGCGAGCTACTTCTTTCTCATCATGCTGTACATACGATACGAGGGTTTTTCTAAGCAAGAAAACATACTGGATGACATGTAGCATCGGTTAGGGTCTGCGTGCATAATATGCTCGTTTTCTTTTGCGTAGGCAGTCCCTACAGCACAAGCCCGGAGATGAGCAAGACAAAGTCGGGTCGAGGCTTACTTTCATATTTCATCTCCAGCACTGCTGCCGAACACAGGTTGTTATATATTCTAGATAGATGTGTACCAGAGATAAATTTAGTCGAGGATCAACCGCCGAGCTGTGTTCCTTAACCGTAAGTTCTAAATTCGAGCCTCTGGTTCTTTTTGCGAAATATTTCTCTCAACTGTGGGCCCGGTCTGTAGGAAAAGCCGGTCGGCACGAGCGATTTGTCATTCTGTGACCTCTACCATGCTTGATTTTTTTTTTCTGTTTCTGGTTTTTCGATGCGACGACCCCGCTGCTGTAGTGAAGCGGGTCCTGGTTTGACGGGGGTGGTGTTGTGGATGGATGTGATGGTTCTTTTTTTTTCTCACGCCGACAGCGGGGCCACAACCCCTAACGACCGTCCACGTGCATGTTGTGCAAAAATTCATGCCCGGATAAATGAGCGAACGAGTCACCCACGGGGATTGACTGATACAGACAGACAGTGGTGCAAGACAGAGTTAAATGACAAGGTACAAGACGGAGTTAAAGAGGTGGGAAACTACAAGAATGTTCAACTCTGTACGCAAGAAAAGCACGCTTCAGCAGGATAGCAAGCCACCACGCCGAGGCGCCGAGGCAGCAAAGCTCCGAGGCAGCAAAGCTCCGAGGCAGCAAAGCTCCGAGGCAGCAAAGCAAACCATGCGCGCCACGCACAACCTTTCACGGGTTACCTGGCTGTCAAGTCAGTCAGTTAATCCGTCACCTGGCTGGTGGAGCACATGGCAACGAAACCGCGGGGCCCCCTCCCCCCACCAACTCGCAGGCAATGCTTGTAAAATACACAAGACCAAAAATCCCTGCTTCCCGGCTACACACGTCCAATGACGAAGAAGAAGAAGGTGATCGTACATCCAATATCAAGAAGGTGATCATACATCCAATATGAAGAAGGTGATCATACATCCAACATAAAGAAGGTGATCATACATCCAATATCAAGAAGGTGATCATACATCCAACATAAAGAAGGTGGTCGAACATCGTACATCGTGAATCATACCTGCCACCGTTCCAGAGGGCACCACCGTCTCCGCCCGTCCCTTCGTCCTCCTCCTCCTCCTCCTCCTCCTCCTCCTCCTCCTCCTCCTCGTTGTAGTAGTAGCCGTGGACGAAGTTGTCGGCAAAGGTTGCCCCGCCTCGAAGGCGGACGATGCCCTTGTTGTAGATCGACCCGCCGCTGCAGGGGGTCTCTGGTGTGGTTGCCTGGAAGATCCGCGCGTGCATTGATTCGTGTGTGGGTGTGGTGGGAGGATTACGACACGATGCCACCATGCACGTGTGTGTGTGTGTTTATTGTTAGCATCGATCGCGCTAACCCGTCAATCAATGAAAAGACGTCAGTCTCAGTGCGGTTGACAACAACAAGTAAATGTTGTGCCAATCTGTACCGTCCCGGGTTCGGCGTGTATCAGCCGGGGTAACGCACACGTGCTTGAACTTGGTTCTAGGGAAGCAATGTCACCGAGAAGCAGGAGGAGGAGGCGGACAAGGCAAGTTTTTCTTTTTTTCATCTAGTGGCTGGGCGACGCGAAGTGTTTCACGTGCTCTAGGATCTACCTAGCTTCATTGCTGGCGGGTGAGTGAGCGGGACACGACACAACCACACACACACCACATCATGCCCTGCAGAAGCAATTGTTTCTGCCTTCACCCCAACTGCAACAAGCCTGTTGGTCAGCAGGTCAGCGCGGTCGATGCTATAGTACACATGCATGTTGGTGTCAAAGCACTGCAGGGTTGGTTTTTTCGAGCATTGATTGGTGCCACAGAGTTTTGAGAAGAGCGGACGCATCGCAATAGCTTCGAAGAAAAAAGCGGTGCGGTCTGCTTACTAGTTGTCACCGAGGTTCAGCCCCTCTCCCTCCATTAAGTCCCTCTATAGTGCGTGTACGCCTGTCCGCCTCTAAATCTCGCCTCTCTGTTTGGTTTTGCCCCGCTCTCGATTTCGCGGCTATCATTCTCGACCTGCCCCCCGTGGTGTTGATTCGCGAATCCCACACCGAGGTCAACGGTAAAAGACAACTACAGCATGCACGCGGCTATGAGTACACCCTCTCTCTCTCTCTCTCTCTCTCTCTCTCTCTCTCTCTCATGGCACCTGTACGGAGTTGTTGCGGAAGATAGCAAGCCCGTTCATCTCGACGGTCCCGTCCTCAGACACGTTCAAGACCCCACCATTACCTTGCTGATGTGGTAATCATGGTCGGTGGTTGGTGGCATTACGAAACATGCACGCCGGGAGCAGCAGCGGGTGGGCGATGCGGCGGACAGTTTTCGGTTGGTTTCAACTTGGTTTCCACTCATCATGCAGATTGATGCTGTCGTTGTCGAGATGTTTGCCGTCGTGCAACTGCACGTTCGAAGGCATGCGGACCGACCATCTACTAACCACCCAGCAGCACGCGTGGCACCTATAACCAAAAAGAGTCGGTCAGTACTGGCCAAGACAGGCGGTAATATATTGCGGGGTCGCACACAAGCAGTAGGCGCCACGAACACACCCCAGAACCGCCGGCTACAGCGGCACCCTTCGTAAGTGTCACAAGCTCACCAGATACAAAAACCAGTGAAGTGAAATGGGCACGGTCACACCCCTTGCTTACACCCAAGGCAGGCGATGGAAGCACACAACCAAGAGGTATTGTACGGCGCAAGATGCGGAACTGGTTACTTGCACCTACCAGGTTGTCGATGCCGGTGAACTCCGTGGAGGCGTTCGCGCTGAATATCAGGCTGGCCGCGCTCTCGACCACGAAGCGCACCCCGCTGAACACCACCGCCTGCAAAGAGGAAGATAGCATTCGTTGTTGTTGTTGTTGTTGGGTGTCGTCGTTAATTGTGCGTGCTTTTCCCTCGTACTCGACCCGGTCGGTGGTTGTTGGGTTGGTTGTCGGATTCTGTATATTTTCACGGCAGATTAATTTGCCCAAGTCCGGCAACAGCCGGCCCGGCGGTGGTTGCAACAACCCAGCTTGCAGACAAAAGAAGGCCAGAAAAAAGACAAAATACGTGCCCGGAGACAAGGACGGACCCTAAGGCACACGGGGGCGGCGTCTAACTAGCACATGATCGACCGGTTGGACGGAGCAAACGGCGGGTTCGTTTACAAATATCGAGACGACGACGCCATAAGCTCTGGCGTTTACGCACGCGGTCGGTCGATGGGTCTGGTAGGTCAGCCCGGCAGTTTCATAGAGCAGTGGTGGGCCCGGGTTTTTGCGACCCCGAGCGTCAGGAGGGAGTATGGTCGCCATTCAGGGCCGGTACTGCAGGTCGCTATTGCCGGAATACTGTAGTGGCTATTCGTCAGGGTGCAGCGTTACCACGGGGGTTTGTGGTCGCTGCACAGAGCATGCTGCTTAACAGGCGGGTTGCTATTTCGTCCCAGGCTGCTAACTGTGTCCTCTACCGAGGAGGAGCAGCAAGAGACCGCACCAGGATACCACTCGCGAGAGAGAGAGGGAGAGGGAGGGAGAGAGAGAGAGAGAGGGAGGGAGAGAGAGAGAGAGAGAGAGAGGGAGGGAGGGAGGGAGAGAGAGGGAGAGGGAGAGGGAGGGAGAGAGAGAGAGAGAGAGAGAGAGAGAGAGAGAGAGAGAGAGAGAGAGAGAGAGAGAGAGAGAGAGAGAGAGAGAGAGAGAGAGAGACTTACGTGCCCAGCAACGGCAATCGAACCACGCTAAACGAGTAAAACACCAATCAAGCAAAAAGTTGTCGGTTCGCCTGCAGTCGTGAAGAGGCCGGCGGACGGCCCACTACGGATAACGCTGTGTTCGGCCGTCCACCACACACAGCAGCAGCGCTCCTCCTGTGTGCGTGTGAATTTACCCACGTACAACAGCACGAGCACAGCCATCACCAGCAATGACGACGACGACGAGGGCAGTAAATAACAACAACAACAACAACAACAACAACAACAACAACAACAACAACAACAACAACAGCAATAACGAATCTCGCGAAAAAACCAAGCAATGCCGTCCCGTCGATCATGTTGTTATTATTGCTGTGTTCGTGCGGACATACCTCGCTGTCCACGGCTACAGTCAGCGTGCCCCCGGCCACGCGGACCGTCAAGGGCGAGGGGCATGACACCCGCGCCACGTCGGTGGGCAGTACCACCTGTTGTTTCGTGTGTTGGCGGACGAAATATAACAAAACGCGCATTTTTTGTGCGAAAAACGACAACGAGGCGACCAGGCGGGGGTACGAGGGGGGCACCGTCAGATAGGCTTGCGAAATAGGGGGGCATACGCACAATCAAATCACCTTCGGCAGAGGCGGTACAGCGCGGCGTCGCCCCACAGATTGCTCTGCCGTACCATAGCAACACAGCGCCATGATCAGGAGAAGGAACGGGGTTCCTTCCGGACGCCTACATATATTTTCGTTGTTTCTCCACACGCAACGACTCAAAGGAGAAAAATGTTGCTCCGCTCGCGTCGACGACCGTTGTTGTGCCACTCACGACGACTATTAGAAGCGCTCACCGTCAAGTTTCCCTCCAGTGGGTATGGGATGGTACCCAAGGCGTCGCACCAGTCATCTTCATCGTCATCTTCATCTTCCGCCGGCTCCGGTTCCGGTTCAACTTCGTCGTTCATCCAGACTTTCTACCTCATCGTCGTCGCCTCCGCTGGTGCTTTCGTGCGTCTCTTCTTCGGTTAAAATCGACCACGGTCCATCCCCACCCAAGTAAGACCAGGACGGTGTGCATCACCGCGAAATGAGCGAAACGGGGGAGAGATTTTAGCGAACAAGGTAAAGGTACCGCAAGAACCAAAAGGAGTGAGGTGAGTAGCAAGGTTGGTTGGTACATTTCAAGCTCGCCCCGACGTCCGACCCCGATCAACGAAAATTGGCCGGACCACCCCTCGAAACTTTGATCTGGCCGGTGAGGTAACGTGTTCCAAACAGCAAACTACATAAGAATGAGCCGCCCTCCCCCTTTGCTGGAGTTGGACCAGAGCATGTGTTTATAATGGGGGGGGGGGGGGGGGGGGGGGTGTACTCATAGTCGTGCATGCCGTAGTCGTTTGACCATTGACCTCGCATCCCTACCAAAGCCGGGACGGAGTATGCCGGGTTCTCACCGGACCAGGCTCTCACATCCACCAAGCGCGAAGCGCCGTGAGGTATTTGGCGAGTCGCATGAAGGGTGAGCTGCATCCTGCTAAGGGTGTTCGGCATCTTGTGCTTACTTCCTTGCGTACCGGATGACAGCTACGTATGACTTAATTTTATTTTCTGGTGCTTTCACTTCCAGAGACAGTTGTAAGCACTGTGTAGCTGCCTCGAGGAAGCTTGACCATTTTAAACACAACGTGGTGCGATCATCCCCCTTGCGCGGAGTGAGGGTTCTCGACCCCGCACAACATGATCTACTCGACCACCATTATGGTTACCGCCAAAAAAAAAACGAGGGTAAAAAAAAAAAACGGTAACCTGGTTGCCGAGTTCACGAAGTGAATTGGCTTGTTTTACAACGTCGTTGCCAAGCGACGAAAACCCAACCCCGATGGCAAACACCGAGTGGGGGGCTTGTTTTACAACGTCGTTGCCAAGCGACGAAAACCCAAACCCGGAGGGCAAACCCGGGGGGGGGGGCTTGTTTTACAAGGTGGTTCCCAAGGGAGGAAAACCCAATCCGGAGGGCAAACAAGGGGGGGGGGGGGGGGGGGGGGGGGGCTTTTTCTTGCATGGAAGTGCGCACCATGGCTCGCCCAGGTTCTGTGTCGTACACTAGGTCACTCATCACCATTGTCTTCCATGCCATGAATTTGGGAATTTCACAAGTGGTAGTACACATGGTTTCTCGCATGCCCTCGAGAGGCCCGACAGATGGGATAAACGGCCCGCGGAAAGCGGGGGTTCGTGCGAGGTCTCTGTACCCTCAAGCCAGCTACAGTCTCGATTGTTGGTCGGGTCGGGCCTCTTGCAGCACGCCTGATCAAGTTGGTTTTTCTGCAGGCGAAGATACACTGACTGCTGCGTTGCGCCAGTACTTCGAGTGCGCAAGAACCAAAAACTCTAATCGGTGTGTGGCTTCACCCTGATATGTTTCGTCGAGATCTGAGATATTTCCTGACCTCCCCCCTCCTCCCCCGCCAACAAAAACTGCAAAAACTTCGTGCGTTCTTCTTTGGTTGGGTGAGGGGATGGGCGGAAACAGTGTTGGATGATGTGAGGGTCGCCTTGATACTGACTGCAACACTTAATAAAACAATCGCCATGACGCCCTGTTCAATTCTTACACACGTGTGCACCCCCACCTTCTGCTGCTGTTTCCATCGTGAACGACCCGCTGCACCCAGGATCGTATCTTCCGTCGTCCGGAGACACCGCAATCTTCAAGTATGGTCCAAGGCCATCATCGACCTGAAGAACGTGGGTCGACCGAAGGGGAGGGGATAAAGATCTCGGTGAAAAGCAACAGCGGCATCAAAATGAAAGTGGCATCAGCGTCCACGAGGCGCAGGCAAAGTCGATCGGTCGTGCCGATCGTCACATGCGCGTCGTCGCGCAATAAAAAGAAAAAAAACTCTTGCACTCAGCTGTCTTCCTGATGTTTACCAGCAGCAAGCACGAGCAGCAAGAATACCTGCCCAACCCCCCTCCCAATGCGTCTCCTTTGCGGATCCCCCCTCAGCACGCCTTTCTTATCTCGAGCTCTCTCTAGCCCCCGTCAAGCTACACACTATTTTTCTATCCTTTGTGACTTACTTCCCTCAGCATGCCTTTCTTTATTTATTATACCTCGAACTCTCTGTAGTCCCGTCAAACCAACCAACCACAACACCCCCGATCCTCTCCTTTTGTGGCTCTCCCCCTCAGCACATGCCTTTGCTCTCTTTACCTTTGGCAAGGTGACCCACGTGCCGCCGCCGTCGGAGTAGCACCCTTCCTCGGGGCAAAGCGCCAGGACCAGGTCCCCGCCAACGCAGCCGCCGTCGCCGCTGCCGCTGCCGCTGCCGCTGCCGCACGCCTGGTTGTCTCCGCAGTCGTACAGGTCGACGTGGAATAGGTCGGGGCTGCTGCTCCCCTCCTCGCTGTCGACGGCCCAGGATACCTGTGATTGTGGTTTCGTTGTTGATTTTTTTGCTGATGGGCGTTTATTTTTTCAAGGGTGGGTGGTATGCATGCACGTGATACGACGGTAGAGGCGGTCGTATTGGTAGCCATGTTTGGAGGTATGTAGGTCCGATTTGTATGTCGTTGTTTGGTGTGGATGGGCCGAATGAACGCAGACAGAGGGAAGGCAGGGAGGGGGGGGGGCAGTTGATGAAAGTGTTGGGGGCTCAGCACCGTGATTCGGTAGGTACAGTTGCAATTAACGGCGCAGAATAAGTTTCTCGAAAACATCTGATAGAGCAGACGGTTCACGGTCGTTTGTTCGCGTTTAATTCATAGCTCGAATCGTCGCCCTCGCACCTCGTAGCTGCTGTCGGGAATCAGCACCTCCCCATCGGACGGTCTCAAGACTTGGATCGAGGAGAAACTGTCGTCCGAAACGCCTTGCTCCTGCTCCTCCTCGTCGTCGTCGTCGTCCTGGTCGGCGTCGCTCTCCTCCTCGCCGTTGTCCTCCTTTTCGTCGTCATCCAGCTCGTCGCCATCGTCCCCCTCTTCGTCGTCGTTGTCGCTATCGTCCTCCTGCTCTCGGCCATCGTCGTCGCTGTCCTCCTTGTCGTCGTCGTCATCGTCGTCCACCTTGTCGTCGTCGCCATCGTCCCCCTCTTCGTCGTCGTTGCCGCTATCGTCCTCCTCCTCTCGGCCATCGTCGTCGCTGTCCTCCTTGTCGTCATCGTCATCGTCGTCCACCTTGTCGTCGTCGCCGTCCTCCTTGTCGTCATCGTCGTCCTCCTTGTCGTCGTCGTCATCGTCGTCCACCTTGTCGTCGTCGTCGTCCTCGTTGTCGTCCTCGTTGTCCTCCTTATCGTCATCGTCGCCTTCAGAGTCATCGTCGCCAGAACCGTCATCGTCGTCATCTTTTTCAGCCAAATGTCGAAACGAACCGCGAAGCGCACAAATCAATGTACTGTAACATGCGTTCGTCCACGAAACCATCGAATAGTTACTACAGCTGTAGCCGTCGCTATTGTTGCACCCAGGCAAGGCACGTTTGTTCTACCGATGTATCCCGCTCATCCACAAGCGATCGCGAGATCAACCGGTTGACAATGCTGACATGTACATAGCGCCACGACGATCAGCCCTACCCGTAATCAGGCCTACCAACTACAGCAGTACACGCACAATGGCAACGATACACGTCACATGTTGCACATCAGTTTCAGTACAACCAGCAGTGGATCGCAGCAGTATTTCAATTTCAATAGCTGCAAAGGGAATATTTTTATCGAAAGAGAGAAGGCGACTACATATCTACCTACTACCACAAACTACCCGCGAGAGAAATATGTTTGCTACTTCCCCAGGATTCCCAATTTTTGCTACTTGATTTACACTGCTGTAGCGGTAGGTTGCCTTGATTTACTTCTTCGAAGAAGTTTTATGCATCAGCCTGAACCTTGTTTGCCCCTCGGCGGAATGGGCTCGATCGATCGCTGGTCTCGAGCTAGACTCGTCTCGTTTTGTGTTGCTGCCCCCAGTTGAGATGTTGGCATGGCTACTGTTCAGGACGGGAGAATAAAAAACCCCGTGGCAAGGAAAGTGTCGTCGGTGCACACGCACAAGCAGATATTATCGTCGGCGGCCCTCGCAGGCCACACGTTCTGGGGTATTTTTTCTTGTTTCTCTTGTCTGTTACTTCATGGATACAACCATCATCGCGTTTGGTGGACATCTCTGGGTCCTTCCGATCCTCTCGTTGGTGCTGCTGCGTAGGGGTGCGTGCGCCCTTTGTTTTTGGGCAGTTGGTTAGCGACCACGGCAGGCGTCCGTCCGCTGGTCCGGGTGTAGGTATCTACTGCTACTGCTGTAGTCTGCTGCTGTAACGGTGACGGCGTGACGGCTGTCAAGCGGTGGTGAGCAGACCAGACCATGCGGCAGAAAAATAACGACCGATTGTTGCATCGGTAATGTCTATCTATAACGCCGTTATTCTGGGCAATGTTGGGCTTCCCGATGCTGTATATAGTCTACATGCAGCACAAACGCCACCTATGGATAAGAACCATGCATACACCTTCCATGTACGCCGCGTACGGCTGTCCAGCAGTACGGCTGTCCAGCAGCGGCATCCCCCGCCGGGAGAACTAATAATCTACAAATCTACAGCAGTAATCATCACAACTAACTGCTGCTGCTGCTGTACACTACAACTTTTTTGTTCCCCAGCAGCAGTAGCAGCAGCAGCAGTGTCGCTCGCTCACCAGTAGCGCCTGCTGAGGTAGTAGTGAAGGTAGCCGTCGCTGACGACGAGCCGGAGAGAATCGCGGTGGAGACGGAGCCTGATGCTACGGCGGTTACGGTGCTGCTGCTGCTGGTGCTGCTGTACAGGCTCGAAGGTGCTGTTGACGTTGTTGGGGTGGCATCTGCGAGCACACGGCTACCGTCCCACCGCCGCCGACCGCCGGCTGAGGCAGCACCCATCAAGCATGAGATGACCGACAGACGCGGATACTTCATCGCGTACAAGGAGAGGTTGGTTTGCTGGTGAAATGCGTCTCCTCCTCTCACAAAGGAGGGAGCGTTGTTTGCCACCCCCGCACGTTTTTGGTTTTGTTCGGCTGACGATCTTTTGTCTTGTCAAACGGACGAACGGGGTCCCACAGCCGTGATGCCAAAAAAAAGCGCGAGAGATCTGCCGACCGCTGCCTTTTCAGCGGGTATCTGAGGGCGCCTCGCTATGATGTATACCCTTCACAGTCCTTCGACCTCCTCCGCCTTGTTCTATCCCTAGCTCTAGTACTGAGAGAGGCGAACTGCGTGGTGTGCCCGTGTAGAGGAACGGAGTGATTGCAACGGCTGTGGAAGGCGGCGGGACAAACCTGGCTGGTGGTCACGGTGTACTAAAATTTTGAGTACAATACCCACAAATTCCCAGATTTTTCCACTGGTCACCGGTCGGGTGTACTACGGTACCCCCGGGGGCTCTGGTCCGTTGTCCTCCACACACACAGACACACACACCTTTCAGAACGCAAGATACCCTCGACCTGTCCTGTATAGCAGTGGCCTCCTTGAGGCCCTGGAGCGCTCCACTCTGCGCGTAGGAGGATTTTTGGGGTGTTGTCTATTGTAGACCACAGCAGGAAAAAAAGCTACTGTAGTCTAATGTAATGCTGTAACGGCTGCTGCTGGTAAACCGTTCCCGTTTCGTTTCGTTTCGTTTCGTTTATTCTGCTTGCCAGTTTACCTGCTCTGCCTGCTACACCTTCTCAGTCACGCCCGTACATACTGGTGCACACCCGACGCGGATAGGGCCAGATCCTGTGACATGTTTGGAAACCATCTACAAGTATGGTCACAACCACATCTATGGTCCTCGCGCGTGGCCAAACACTGCTGAGAAAGAGAATCTTCTCATCGTGTGGCATCATGCCTAATAATAATATGAATGGTGAGAACGGAGACCCTAGTTGACGACGACGTTTCACCATCAAGAAAAAAGGCCGTCAATGCGGAAGTAATGACGTACGTGACAATTGGAGCTGTGGCGCGAATCTACAACAGTAGGCATACAAGCCGTTTGCTCCCCGGAGAGACATCGCTACGTGCCTGACGTGGAAATGACAAAGGCAGCCAGAGAAGCAACCCATTTCTTTGGAAGCGGAGGGAGGTGGAGGCGGATTGTTGCGACAGCAAAACGAACGTCAATCGTCGCTACTCTGTAGACTACAATCAGTACCGGCGGCTTGGGTACGGGTTTACGCCCCGGCTGTTGAACAGATGTATATCTACTGTGAAACGTATTTCAAGATGATCTAGGCTTGAGTCATCACCTGTTGTGCCAACGGTGTATGGGTTTGTACCATTGTGTGTACGTTGTTTTGAGAATTGTCGCGCAGCGGAGCGGCAAACTGATCGTGTGACCAAGCTTGCTTTCAGAATGATGACATAGCGAAAACAACGGTGTACTGTAAAAGACCACCCTTAACTCTACTTTTTGACCGGTCTTTGTTTGGAGGGAGCAGGCAATGTAGAGTGAGCTTCGGGACGAGCCGTCCGGAAAGAATGGCGGGATCAGAGATGACAGACAGACACAGCAGCGCAGCGCCAGAAAAACGCATCCCCTTCGACTTTGGTACTATCTCGAACGGGTGGTCTTTCTGTGAGGTAATGTAATGTAACTAACTCTACTTTCTGAAAAGAAACATACCGTCCAACATCGTATACAGAGTTTGTCGAACGACACGCAGTTCCAGCAAGAAACTCTGGTCTGGGCAGAAGGAGTGACCGTCGGGGTTTGGGTTTTGGGGTGGTCGTGCGACACCAACAAGTGCGAGCTCGCAGCCACGAGGAATAAAAAGATACCACTGATTTACGTACATATTAACATGTATGCATACAATGAATTTCCCGCCTCTAAGAATCTACTTCCGCCTCGAAATACCCCCCGTCATGGCACACCCGCCGTCGCAAATTTCACTGCACAGTTAACAGTACGATTCATTCGCCAAACTCATTTGCCAAACTCTTGAAACCTCTTCGCATACAAACGGTAAACACGATTCTACTTGGAAAATTACAACCAGGCGCCGAGCCACCGAAAATGATTACGGGGGACACGAACCACCCCCACATGTGAAAACCCCAACCCGTATCGACAACAACGTGGGAGAAGAGCGAGCTGGTAAAACTATGGTATAACTCAACGGTGAACACAACCGCACCAATACGTGGAAGAAACCATCATCCACACGCCCGATGAAGACAATATGTACAGCAAGCCCCAATAGCTGAGTATCGGACTTCCTCGGAGTGTACTACGCCAGACGGTAATTCTACCGGTGGGGCCCAATGTTGTTTTACCTTCTTCACGAACCTAGGCAGACGGTGGCCCTGTGTCTATCTGAGAATATACCTGTACAAGGAAACAACGAAAATAGGGCCTTCTACCGTCGCCATTCGGTCTCACGGTAAATATTCTGAGCTCTTCCGCAATAGCACCAAGGGATTAGCAAAGGGATTACCATGAAACTTCGTCCGAGTTCCGCCTCGAGGCCATCACTACATAAGCCCGGAAAAAGGGGAATGTGCTTTCGAATCCCTTGATACTACTGTAGTTGTAGTCCTTTGATACTGCTGTTGCTCAACCAAATAGACCCATAGCTGGACGTACGACAACATTCTATCCGAATCGATCCATCCACGCGAAACAGTCGTCATGTATCACCAGCCGTCTATCCTCCGCCTTGTTGTACAAGATAAAACATTAGACCTTACGCAATGAAAATGGGCGAGCGGGTGACATCTCTACTTCGCGGGCGCCGCATCAGCGGCGGCATCGGCTGGGGCAGGATCGTCCTTGAGAGAGGGCTTGATGTCCGCCTGGATCTCGTCCCTGACGGCGCCCATCGCTCCCTTGACGCCATCCGTCACGGTGTGCGTCACGTTGGAGAGAAAGCCGCCGATCCCACCCCCTGTGGCGCAGGTGCGGGCGCGAAGGATAACGGAACAGCCGGGGGAGGGTGAGTCTCATCTATCAAACTACGCCCGTTCTCTGCTCATAGTTTCGACGTTTCGACATGCAGCAGTAGATATGCTCTCTTTTCCCCACAAAGCAGTCATGATGACTTGTCGACTTGGGAGTGCGGTGTGTGGCCCCGCAAGTCGTCGTGATCGGGAACGAACGCAACCGCAGGAAATCGAGAGAGCGTGGGAAAAAAGTCGGCAACAACACGGGAGGCGGGGTTTGTCCACGTATTTCTGCTGTCGTGACGTAATCGGGTATGAAGGAAGTCCGATGCGGCCATCACTGCACCCGGGGGGGATCCAATCCTTTCTCTGAACGCAAGCAACCTACAAAGCAACACGTCTTGTGGGGAAACACCTGTCCCCAAATAGTAACAGGTCCCGCCGGTGGTGGGGAAACACCGAGAGACGTCGTCGCCTCATTTCTTCAACTTTACCTTCCTTCCCCTCCTCTGGTGTCTCTACCGCCGGCACCGCCGGCACTTCGACCGCCGCAGCATCCGCGCCGCCCTTCTTGCCGCCGCCAACGATCCCGGTGGCCGCGTCAGTCACGCTGTGTGCGGCGTTGGTGATCGTGGAAGTCAGGTTGCCGATTATTCCAGGGGTTTCAGCCTCCGCCGGCGGCGCCGGCGGCGCCTCCCCCCCCGCGGCGGTGCCGCTGGACGAAGAGCTGCTGCCCCCGCCCACAACGCTCTGGATGACGCCGGCGAGCATGCCGATGCCGGCAGCGGGGGCAGGTGTTTGTTCGGGGGTTTCGGCGGGGGCCGGGGACGGGGTGGGGGCGTCGGTTGGGGCTGGGGCGGGGGTGGGGGCGGCCTCTGCGTCGCCCCCGGCTCCGGTAACCTGTGAGTTTTCGAGACAACAGCAGCAGTGGTGAGGAACTTGCAGCATGGCATACAAGAAGTACTATGAAAATATCCAGACGGAACTTTGCGGAAGCATAAAAATAACGACGGACCTGCACCGTCCGTGCTGGTAGCTCTGTTGTGTGATCTCGGGTTGGTCCTCGGTTCTCAGGCAGAGAACCATGCCGAAGGGAAGAGTCTGTTTGAGCAACGATGGTGACATGTTTACACGAGTACGATGTTGAACTAAGTATCACAAGGGGCGAACGTCTATGTATGTGATCCACTTCGACATGATGGGGGGGCGCATGTGGCTTCAGTCCCTCTTGCCGTAACCAAAACGTTGCATACAAGAAATCACAAATGCACACGATACGAATGTCCACAGAGAAGCCACCACGTGTCCGTTCATCTTCGATAAAATGCATGACATCATAACAGCAGCAGTGAAGGACCACCTATTCAGATTGTTCTACGGAGGGAATGTGATGTACAGACACACACACCGGGGCTACAGCTGTCAGTACTGGATAGATGTGTGTCCATGTCACCGGGGCTACAGCTGTCAGTACTGGATAGATGTGTGTCCATGTATACTTAAACCATGCCGTCACCGTATAGCTACAACGACGAATGTACACTTGTACGAAAGAACCAATCGCGTATGTTTACATCGTCGTGAGCATTGTCGTGAGCTTAAAAAAATGGTGGTCGTTGTGCGTTCATGTGTTGATCAAAAAGAATAATTTTACAGAAGGATATTTACAGCAGTCAGTACATAATTCCATCCGGGAGCACAGGGGTCCAAGAAATGACGAGACCAACAGCATGCGACGACAACAAAACATGCAACCACGAGAAGAGTCAAGATTGATGATGCGGAGCCGCCAACAACCACAGTAATGTAGACTACTTTTATGTAATCTTCTGACGCGACGAAACCCACCCTTGCATATGTGAGGAGAGAACGAAACGACCTCCAAACTCACGTGTATGTAGACGGCAGGCGGAAGGTGCCACAATTTTTTTACCGCTATGCGTCCACTTGGAAATGAAACCCTCAATGTTGATATGGCACAGCTACTGGCAGAAAACGCGGAGGAGCGAACCTCAGTGTGCGGGAGTTGGATTCCGACTCGCAAGCCACTTTGTACTGCTTGTGCTGTTTTGGTCTCCACAACGAACTTGACATGAGAAATGAGATATCATACAGTATGTGCAGCAGCAAAACTAATAAACTAATAAAGCCGGCCCAGTTCTCCCCAGTGTTTTTTGTTTTTTTTTATTATTCGAAATATGGCCACAGCCAGCCCGATGTCATTCGGAAGCATACTTGTACATATATCTGAACTCCGATCGCCAACTTCAACTCGCGAACGAAACCAACAACAGCAGGCACGGGGGAGCATATTGATCGGAGAACATGAGCGACTACTTGTAGCAAAATAACGTAGCCCCCATGGCAAGGAAGATGGCGCCCAGAACTTGCACGAAAGCCAAGAGCCCTTGGGAGCGAGGGCAATAGAGAGCGTCGGGGGACCGCGCTACAACAAGGTTTCATGGGTTCGTCTGTTCGCCACTTCGACCGCAATTGTCAACCGCTACTGCTTGCACCTCGTCCTGATCCATCATCGCACACACCTTTTTGATGAAGTTCATGTTTGTCTTGTTTGCTTTCTCTTTCCGATGCTTATCCCAGTCTGCTCGTTGTGCTGAGAGTTTGTGAGTGCCGTGGGGGGGGTCAGGGAAGAGGGGAGGAAAGAGTTTTCTCAATTTGGCAAGATTTGGACGTCACCAACGCAAAAAAAAAAAATGAGAACGCGCTGGCTGCAAAAAAGATATTCCGATCTCTTTCGGTCTTCTTTCGTTCGACATGTTGGGCCCGTAGCTGTGGCCCGTAGTTGACCCCGAAAACCTGGTGTAATGGAGGGACCAGGGGACAAGCCGACATCCACGAGTGCCGAAGAGACTCTACAGCAGTACGTCCGCGAGACGACGAAGAGGAGAGAAATATTGTGCACAGACAACCAGATCTCACTTACTTGCTGTACAAGTTACTACGTGATCCACGGAACATGACACGGAACGAAGAGACAGCAACACACGTTTTCTTCACAATAATTGTTAAGTACAAAAACATCCGTATAGGTAACTTGCATTTTTACAATACATCCCCTGACCTCTACTGCTGGGTCAACGACAAAATATATGAACTCCCCGAACCCAAAAACAATTAATTAAATCAAACACCCCCATATATATATCATTTCAGTTTGTAGTTGCTCTCTTCCGATTAGCCCCACACTGGGCGCGCTAGGTCCAAATACAGGCACCCCTTGCTGGGGAATTATATGGGGTGTTTGATTTAATTGATTTTTTTTGGGGTTTGGGGAGTACATATATAAATATATAGGGGTGTTTGATTCAATTAATTGTTTTTGGGTTTGGGGAGTACATATCTGGAAACACTGGAATCCACGACAGCCACTGCTGTCACCAACGGCGACACACTACTAGCACCATATGACAGGCAGAGGAATGCAACCTTCGTGGTACCAAACAGCTTTGACAGCTGGTATCGTCGTGTTTGTTGCTGTCCTGGGGTTGGGCCCTCACAACTCACTGCAGTACGGACGTTTATTTCGTGGACACTGACATCATCATCACCGACGGTGGAGGCTCTCTCTCTGAGTTGATGCTCCCTTTCGCCGGTATCTGACACCGCGAATTCGCCGAAAACTGGCTTGCGGCAGCAGTCAAGTAGTTACGATGAGAAGCGTGGATAGCGAGAGCCTGTTTGGCTTTTCACGTCGCCGCTGTAATAACCATAAAAAAAAAAAAAGTTTCGAGGACTTGGAAATGTCTCCGCCGTCGAAAAACCCTACTGTAAGCTCCAGGCCTTGTCGCCTTACTTACACTTCCAAGTACATGTCTATCTTCCGCAGAAATATACCTCACGTCAAGGTCAAAAATGTTGATGACCGGAAGTGCAACAGTCCTTTTTGCCCTACAACCCCGAAACAGCCCAAGCGCTTGCGAGGGGGGAAAGCCTGGCAACCAAACAAGCGGACGTCTGCTGTCCGGCAAAAAAAAGACCGCATCCCCAAACATCCTTTTACTCCACCGTTCATAACGACGAGTATCGAATGTGCTTCGTGCGGCATAGTCTAAATCTGTACGAACGACAAGAATTACAGACAACGCAGGCCTTCTTTTTTCGGGTCCTTGGTCTTCCATCTTACCTGTACAATCCCCCTCCCCCTGCCTATCCATGTCGCAACTAAGTACAAAAGAAAGGCCAGCCCCTGTTGTGTGTGCCACACGGTCCTCGAGAACGGACAAGGACAAAGAACAAATCTATACTACCCCCCCCCAACACTGTTTCTCGGTAGGTATGTATGCACACAGCCGTAGCGGGCACAGCATCGACGCGGGCGAGGCAGGTCTTCCGGCCTGGCCAGAAACAAGGTCAGGGTTCGTTCGTTCGTTCGTTCGTTCGTTCAAGAGTAACTGAAGACGCTTCGATTCTGCGGGGCCTCCGGATTGGCCAGCGCGTGGGAGATCACCTTGGCCTCGCTGGTGAAAGCCGTCTTCACGTTCTTCTTTTGGACACGTTTGTCCTGAATTGGCAGAGGCGCCAGGAGGGAGGGTGGGGGTGTGAGAGCTTGGCAGGTTGGGGAAGGACGTTCGTCTAACAGATTGCAAAAGCTGAGGTGTAGCTGACGATCAGCAAGCCTCACATACGGGGCTTCGCAAGTTATTGATCTTGTTGCTGCTGCTGTTGCGGCTGCTGTTGCCGTCGAACATTTCTGCCATATTCCTCGACATGTACGCATGGTTTTTCGTTGATGTTTCGGTACAATCAATGGGAGCGCTATGATACAACCTTGCGTCAACACCAACGAAGGTATCGCAACACGGTATAAAAAACAAAATAAAAAATAAAATAAAAATACTTACAAACCACAAAGGTACCGACTTCGGGCAAGCTGGACCCTTGTGTGAGTACGGCCCTGGTAAAAAGGAGTTAGAAGGCGAGGAGGGTTGTATTTTCCGCTATTGACCCGATCAGTACGCACCCTCTTGTTCAGCTTGATCTGTGCTTTTCTTCGCCTCTTCTCCTCCGCTGTTTCCTCGGTATCTCGCTTCTCTCCCTTGTTCTTACCCGCGATCAACGACACCATGCCCCTGAAACGGAGGTGGCGGTGGCGGGATGCGGGGACAAGGGGGACCGGCGCGAAAAGCAACATCAGCGTCGTCGGAAGAGGGTCATAGCCGGAAGTTTCATCAAATGATTTGTTTGGGTCCATGTTCGCAAAGACCCAGGACAAACTAAAGCCGCAAAGCCACATACATATCGCCGCGCTGAGACTGACGCCTTTTCATTCGTCAGCCGGTTAGCGCGGTCGACGCCAACAAAACAAAAATGAAACACATTCACAACACGCACACATGTCCTTTGGCTCACGTGTCGTTGTACGTCCTCTCCGGGAGCACGCCCAGAGGAAGGCCCGTCTTCGCCGACAGCGCAACCTGCTGCACTGTGGATGCGTCTCCGCCCCCGACCCCCTCCGCAACGGGGGACCGCCGGGCGCGGCCAGGCTTCGCTTTGCGGCCGGTCCCGAGCACCGACGGGTGGTTGTCGAGGTTCGAGTACGTGCTCACGATCGTCTCGCAGTCCCACTGTTCGGCCTATTTCCGAGTCCGCGTGGCCCCGCGAGTTTTCAGGGAAGGCCCGAGGCGTTTGTTCCATTGTCAGCAAGCGGCAAGAGAGGACGCCAACAGCGGGGGGGGGGAGGGGGGGGGTTGAGATGACGGGGGTGGAGGCTTTCTACAACTGCAATCTTGTGGTAAAACGGAGCCGAAGAACTCGAACTACTCATAATGTTGAGTACAGTAGTACTAGCGTATTTTGGGCAGCAGTCGGAACGGCACGCAGACGCCCCAACAGCGGTCTTGTTGAGTCCGTGTACGAGCAGATTCCTGTTATCTGTGTGGTGGATTGTTAGCTCAGTTTTCCCACTCCGGTAGGTAATGCTGGCGGCGTACAACGAGGCTGCGGCTGTGGCCGCGCTTCTCTCTCTGTCTGCGGGTGCTCAAGCATACCACTCACTGGGCCGAAAGGGACCCTCGGGGTAGCGACAGGTAGCTCGCGGAAGGAGGTGGTTACGTACGTACGCGAGGGGACTAGAAGATGAAAGGAGTAGTTGTGATACTGCTGGAGCTGCAGCGAAAAAGTGATATGGCACAACGATGAGATTCGCCGACATGCAAGCTCGATTCGACATGACAGCAGCGTGAGAATCAAATACCTAAGTCGTACAGCAGCAACACGAAGGGTTAACCCTACTAGTACTGGAAGCCCAAATGGGGACAATTTGGGGACACGGCACTCAAATGCCTGTTTACAGCACCGTGGTCTTCACTACATGTATGTTCCGCTGCGTGAAACGTGCGTGGGAAACCTTGGTCAAGCATGCTTGTGGGAGATGGTACACTGTATAATATACTGCTGTGTGATGCCTGTGCGCCTCTCCTGGGCCTCTGACTTGCTGCACAATCTCCCAAGCCGCTAGTGCCCTCGATGGTAAAACTGTACATAGCCTAGTAATGGAAAAAATTGCAGACTTGGCTTCAGTATAGATATTGTTCCCAGTGCATTTGGGCACACTTTCCATACTGAAGCCAAGTCAGCCTTCGGCCCTCGGGACTGTACGGTTTCTCCCAATGAGCGAACGCGATTTTTTCTGGACCCACAACCTGTAACTAACTGTGCACTACAAAGGAGGGTTAACAACTCCACCAGGTGATCGTTCATCACCGCAGTATCTTACCAGCAGATGTGATACCGCACACGGGACGCGCAGTATAGGGCACAACTGTCACCAGTCACAGACACACCTTCCCTTTTCGACAACAAGCCATTCCACCAACGCACGCGTAGAAACACACACCGGTTTTTCTCGCAGGTATTCGTTATGATGCTCCATGTCATGAAGCTCATCATCCTCCTCCCCCTCCTCGTCCTCCGGCACTGGCACTGGCACTGGCACAGCCCCAAACCCTCTCAGCTTCCCCAAGCGGGGCCCCGACGTCGCCGTCTTCGCAGCTGCCTCTACACTCGGCCCGACTCCACCCGGACCCCCGCCGCCAGCCGCTGCAGCACCCGCTCCCGCCCGTCCCGCGTCGCCGACGCTGCCGCCACCAGCGGGGGGGGCGGCGGCGGGATCAGCGGCGGTGGCGCCGCCGCCGCCTTCGATGGCGAGGGTGGCCGCCGCGATGGAGCGCTGGTCTGGCGGCAGCCGCTGGACCCCCTCCGTCCAGCGAGCGTCCTCGTTGGCGGCGAGGAAGTCGTCCATGCACGTGTTCGCGTAGTCGTGCTGCTCCAGATCCCTGATAGTGGTTGGTGGTGACGGTGGTGGTGGATAGTGGTGGCGGCGGCGTGTTCAACGTTTGTGGAGGTAACCGACAGCAACAGGTGGCAATCGTGGGGTAAAGGAGAGAAAGGATTAAAATAGTCGTGTATGGATACGACGGCGGGGTCTCCTTGGAGCAGTACCGGGGACAAATGACGGCAAAGCACGTCGGAAAAGATGCGGACTGGGAAAGAACGGAACAGACCATCTTCAGAAAAAAAAAATTAACCTGCGCGAGGGGAGAACACAACACCCAACGCACTACTTGCTGCTGCTGTTGGGTTCAAAAGCACTGACCGAAAAACTCAACCGGGCGCTCGACCCAAAGAAGAATCAAGGCGAAACAATTTAGGGCCACCTACTAGATTGTGGAGAGACCGACGGCCATATCAGTCGTGTGTGCCTTGTCTTTTCTCCCCCGCTCCCCCGGTCCACTCACCAGCGTCCCTGTACTCGGTCGTCGTCCTCCTCGAGCTCGCCCCATTCGTCACTGTCGTACGCTGCCAACGTCTTTCGTATATTTTTTTGTTGTTTCCGATTGTTGCACCGTAAAGACAAGAAAAAAAAAAGGCGGCGGGACAGAAAGAGAAGAGAAGTGAGAGACAAAAATACGATTGTAGCGAGAAGGAGGGAGGGAGAGAGAAAGAATCAGATGAATACGCCGAAAGCGCAAACAAGCACGGACATATTGAGTGCACTATTTTTGCTAGAGCGGACACACTGCTGTGGACGTTCATAAACACAGAGAAGGCAGAGAAGAAACAACAAAAAAATGTAGAACGAGTCGTCGATGGATCTTTACGGCTTGTTCGTGGAGATGCTTATCAAAACAGGTACTTCAGCCACTTGGTCCTCTCGAAGGAAAGTCTCAACCGAGCACACGGCCGTGGGTAGGACAGAGGATGGGATCAGGGGTACGTGCAGGGTAAGCTCAGCGCCACAAGCACAAACGCGCAACCAGCTGGCTTGTGATGTATGTGCGACAAAAAAAGCCGTTCTCGCTCGACAAAGTAGTCTTTTATCTTTATTCCGCCACTCTTCTAGTCAACCAGGCGACCGAGAGGTTCGGGAGAGCTTTGGTCCCCCATGACGCCCTTTGCATGCATTTCTTGCTAGCGTCATATGTAGGTGAGGTACAGCAAGCACCATCATCATCATCAAACAACGAAGCTTATGGAAGCCGAAATCAAACCTAAGGTTTGATTTCGGCTCTTATAAAAGTTAGTAGTGGTTTTATTCCTGAGACCCTGGATACTCTCGGCCAGAGTGTGGGTGACGAAAGGACTCGTGAACCCTTTCTGCAGGATGTGGGTGGCGAGTACACGCAGGAAAAAATTCGCCGGCCCCGTTCTGAACAAACACTAAGGCATACACATGACGGTTCCAACGCCAGAACGTGACGACCTGAAAAATATGACAAGAGTTCACAGGGCCTGCACGAAAGCGGGGCGCTCACCGCCTCGAACTGAGAATCAAGCACAGCCCGGTCCTCCTCCGTCCCCTCCCCGGGGACGCCTCCCCCCGCCGCCGCCGCCCCGCTGATGTCCAGCCCTTCCAGCAGCGCATCGTCGATCTCCCCGCTGTCGTCTGACCCGGCACCACCATCCAGCGTAGCAACGTCGTCCTCTGAGTCGTCGCTCTCTGAGTCCGAGTCTCGCCGCAATCGCACCAGGCCCTTGGTCTGGAGGTCGTCGTCCCTGGACCGCTGCCGCAGGCCGGTCTCCTTCGCGCTGGCCTCCATCAACCGGGCCACGTGAGCGTCGAAGTCGAAGCCCCCATCCTGCATTTTTGGGCCAAGAAAGAAAGAAAAGTGTTTCGCGTCACCACTACTACTACAACGCGCGTGAGTGACTGGTGTGAACTGTGAGAGATTTTCGCTCGGGGGGCGTGCGAACGGGATGGCATGGGAACGGGGCAGCAGGCAGTAGCCTGGCCCAGTTGGCGTGGTGGGGCATTGGTGCAGTAAGTGATCCTCTCGGGGATGGGGGGTGACTGTCCCTTGATAGAACTAGGGCACAGCTTGGGAAGAATCGTAGATTTCTCTGGGTAGTCCACGTCCCACCATCGTATCATAGGGTTCAGCAATCGCAGTCATCTACCCGCACCAGCCGCTCGTCTGGGGACGAAGCTACGCCGAACATATGCACCCCGTCCTCAGCCTTTATCTACACCATTCCTCTCGATCGACACCCTGACTATGCTGGGATCGCCAACCGTCACCCCCGCCTGCCCGACCAAGTTTTTCGTCCGTCTCGGACACACTTCTCTGCCACTCCCACCAAAGATCGACCTTACTCGATACGTCCTTCCCCAGCTGGACGGATGAAATTGTCACGCTACCTATCCACCCATCCCGTCTGTTAAAAATACCAAGTCTTGGGCGGTGTAACGGGGCGCTGCAGCAGCAGCAGCAGCAGCAGCAGTGGTGGTGCAAGGTGAGCATTGAGTTGGACTGATTGATGAACGTGCTTAAATGGACTACTGCTGTAGATTGGACTGGACTGTAATACTCACTTCTCCTGCACCGGCCGCCTGCACAACGAAGTCGTCGTCGAGCATGTTGCTCTCATCATCCCAGTCTTCCTCGCCAACGTCAGCCAGCCCCGCCGCTAGAGCTCTCCTCATGTCGCCGTCCATCACCTCTTTCAGTCGAAGTAGCAGCAGCAGCAGCAGCAGCAGCAGCAGCAGCAGCGCGATGAACGAAAGAGAACAGGAGGACCATTCACACAAGAAAACAGAGACGAGGAGGGGCGCAAGGAAAGTGAGAGATGTGTGGAGGGAGGCAAAGACATACAGACGCAGAGGTAACTCGGAGAGGGAGAGGGAGAGAGAGGGAGACAGTGGAAGCAAGAGAGGGCGAGGGAGAGGAAGGGGTGAGGGAGGGAGCACAGACGAGCAAGGACACATCGCACGAACGTCGAAGGAAAGGCTACGGCGTCAAAACAAACATGGTTCAACAAAAGCAAAACGAATGGATTCGATAGCTAGAACGGACGGCTGGATGAAGGGCAACATTGGAGAGAGAGATCAAACGAGGCAGGGCAAAACAAAAAAAATAACGCAGGCTCACTCTCGCTAATTGTGACGGCCTCGAGCTGCCGGTCAAGCGTCTCTCCGGATGGCAACGCCTCTTCGGGGATGGCGGGTTTCGCTCCCCCCCCCCTGGCGCCCTGGCTGTTGCCCTCTGCAAAGTGCTGTACCTTTCCGGTCTTCGAGACGAACGTGCCTCCGCCTGTGTTGTTGGAAGCGACACGGAACGGTGTGGCGCACGGTTCACACGTAGCAACGGGGTCAGCTTCATGGCTAGAAGGGGGTCGGATCGAGTTGTTTTTGTTTCTGGCGCAAGTTTCTCTGCTTTTAACCCCTGTACAAGAATGAGAGGGTTTGAAGAAGCTCATCCACAAAGGCGAGGGCAGTGGCGAAGGAGGGAAGAGCGTGAGGGTTGATGCGAACGTACGTTCCGTATTTGTTGTCGGACAAGTATTGGACAGGGTGGGCTCAGAAGTCGTAAGTGTAAGCTCGGGGAATAAGGCAAACGGGAAAGGAGGATAGGCGACTGCCAATAGAACATGGATGACAAAGATCACATCACCAGCACACCCGATCGACGATTTTCCGTTTGTAGGTAGAGTGGACACAGATTACAAGATAGGAGGGCGAAACACAGGATGACACGAGCTTGTTTGTATGCATACTTCCAGTCGCACATGAGCAGATACGTCGAAACGGGGCCGTACATGAGACAGCGAAACATCGTACGTGCCATACACCACCACACTGAATACGCGTATGAAAGGCGACATAGGGACTTCGTTCGCTTTCGGTCGATCTATCGCTTGTTCGCTTGAGGCGTTCTCTGTAAACGAACGCACTAATGTACAGCAGAACGGATCTCTCACCCATGGACTTGAGGTGCTGGTCGTAGTCGTACCCATCGTTCGGGAGGCCGAGGGCGTTGATGTGATCACGCTCCGCCCCTGCCACGCCACCCTTGCCCTTCCCCTTACCAGCTGCTTTCCTTTCATCCTGCGGCCGGCTATCTCTCGGTGGCTGGACGGGATTCGCGTGCAGCAGCAGCAGCAGCAGCAGCAGCAGCAAGTCGTGACCGCCGCAGACAGCGCGCGCGGGGACCCAGGGAGCGAGGACGAGTGACATTTTTTTTATGTAGGGTAGGGGGAAGAGGGGCAAAGCAGTTCCCCTGCCTAGATCACTACGTGAGGAGCGACACAGCCGCATTGCTAGATAGGGGTTTTCATGCTAATGTGATCACGCAATGTTCTTGGCACTCCTCTAGTCTAATATATAGTCAGTGAGGCAAGGATCTCTGTCCCCGTGGGTACAATGTCAACCTGATCTGGTCTAGATAGTACGGCTGCGCGCTTTCACGTGGTCGATCGTCGCCGACACGAGCAAAAGTCGGCTCTTCTGCTGAGCAACCGTCAACGCGCCGATTTCCACTCTTGGAGAGCCAAAAGCCATGGCTCACCCCCGACGGGATGAGGACGAACTCTGAAGCCTCCTCCTCGCCCTCATTAGCCTTGTCCTGCTGGGACCGGTGCACCACGTGAAAGGTCGTCGACTCCTTCTTGTCGATGAATTTCTTCTTGCGGCCCTGTGTCGACGAGAGAGACCGGCACATTGCGAGGGAAAGCACAGGGGTGATCGGAGGAGAGAGGGGGGTGTAGGTGGGGGCAGACGTGAGTGACAGGCAGCTACATAGATAGGCGGTAAGGGCAGAAGTATACATGAGCAAGCCGTGCTATTTCTTGCTGCCATGCTTGTTGTGGGTATGGTGTACCCACTGCCTTTATACGAAACTGTCCGCACCAACAAACCCAAACGCAGCACGGCAGGGCTCAGGCGACGCGGCGGGTTGAGATAAGGGTGCTTACTATTCAGTCGCCTGTTGTCTGTGCTTGATCGTCCACTGCCCTGACCTGCCCTGTCTGCCACCACATTTTGAATGGAGAGAGCTCAAGGTTAGGTACCGACAGATTTCCTGCTGCTACGTCGCCAACAACAATAGAAATTATTCGATCAGCTGCGTCATTCAACTGCAAGGTAACTGACACCCACCATCGTTCCTTATCGGTGGCGAGGTCGTGCGCTCCAGACACGAGAGCCAAGCAAGGTTTTGAGAGCAGCAGCCCGTGCAGCGACGCACCAGCAGATGCGGCGAGATTAACCCGGGGGTTCTGGATTTCTGATACACCTCTATCGTACTATCTGTGTACCCCCTACGCGCCGCCCCGTCAGCAGCAGCCAACTCTCACAACGAAGATAGAGTCACACATCGACGTAACACAACAAGGGCAAGATGAGAGTCTTCGAGAGCGCACTTACGTTGGCAGGCGGTCTGTTTGCGTGTCGGACGGCTTCGGCATTCGTGGCTCCTGCGGCATCTATCAGGCAAGAGGATTGGTCGCTTTTTTTTCTGGCTCAACTCCAGTATGCACAGCAGCAGCGGCGTCGTGCTCTGCAGGCACAAGCAGAGTTCGCCGTTCATGAGCGCACTGCTGTTGGCAACATAGCTCAAACAACCCTTCGGGATCAGTTGAAATTGTGTGCAGTGAATGTGTGCAGTGCTCTGTCATCACGGTACTTATATCTTGACGGTGTCTCTCCTCTTGGTTCCACACCTAAGCTCATGTTTTCTTATCCAATCAGAGTCCGCAGCAGAAAGAAATAGCAGGGCAGAGAAGGGAACGCTGCTGCACGGCGGTTGTTGCTGCATGGAAACGTCTACAGGCAAACACGTTGCGGTGCAGAAAATAGTCTACGCCCAGTTAAGATGATCTGATTTCGGTCACCTCGATGGTTGTAATGGATCGTAAGTTGTTGGCGCAAAGATGTCGACAATCGGCAACCCTTTACGATACCTTCCTCCCGAGTATTTTTGACACGGAACACGCGCGTGATGCACACGCGCATCTTTTAGTCTTTAGCTGAGAGAGGCTTCAGCAGTCTCATGCAGGGCGCACGACACGGGGTTGGCATGCAGGACGATCCTGCTCCGTCAGCACGATTGTGGCCATGAAAATGGCGCTGGTAATTTTTTCTTGAAGGCCAGTTGTGCTCTTCCCGTGGTTTGCTTGAAGACACGTCCTTCCATGCACTCTTTGTACGAGGCGTGTAGCAAGGTGGCACGTGTCCGGCTTGCTCTCTTGTGCAGTCGTAAACCCCTCCATCCCCCCGCCCCCATAGCTCAGATATTGTAACCGTGTGATCTACTTTGTCTTCGTTCTGGAACTGTCGGTCTAGCGTGTCCACACATCAACTTTTGCCTGTATCCTTTGCGCGGTGTTCTCGAAGCCGGTGCGCAGTCGTGATGGAGCCCAAGAGCAACCCATCGCCTCTTGCGGAGTCCATTTTGGTGTGCTCACTCTCTTGTTTCCTGACCCTGCTGCTGCTGCTGCTGCTGCTGCTGCTGCCGCTGCTCTGCTGCCGCTTGCTCCCTCTGGGCGATGCCGATGCTGCTGCTGCTGATGATGATGATGATGACAATGATGATGACAGGGCTCTGCGAAATGCACCAGCCGGCGGCGCAAGCACCACTAGCACCTACGGCAGCAGCAGGGGGGCACCGGCCACCCGGTGAGAGTTACCGAGCTCAAGAGACAGGAGGGACGGATGCACGTACATGCCACATACCACCACGTAGCGAGCGTGTTGCGCCTGAGGAGGAGGGTGTCACTGGTGTCAAGATCCACGAGCCTTTTGTGTGGCCCAGCTGGTTTTGACCCCTCCCCGCGCTCTGCCCAAATACACCCTACCCGAAGAGTACTTCTATGAAGCTAAATGATACATGTGCTTGGAGCACCCGCACGTTGGTGTAGGCCCTATAATACTAAAATAGTGCCTGGTAGAAAACATGCTTCGTCCATTTTGGAAAGGCTACATGCGTCCATGGCGAATCGTTAAGAAGACTGACGGCGTGTACCAACGTTCTAGACCAATCAGGAACCGGGAACAGGGATTTCCCTGTTTCCCTGTTCCATGTCGGTTGTGTCCTAACCATACCACATGCCACAGCATTCAGGCACAGAACGCGGAACACTTCAGCGCGCGAGTGCGTGGGGCCCGCAGGTACTCAGAGGCAACAACTACAACCATTGGATGCAGAAAGACGAGTGGGAGGGGTACAGGAAGGAGGAGTGGTGTAGGTTTTCAAAGGAGCTGTTGACGAGCGCACACCAAACACATGTGCTATTTAACACGTATCGGCTAAAACGGGCGGTGCTCGTCGTGCAATCCGCATCCTCGAGGGTGCTCTGGAAGGCTTTCTTTCTGGGTTGTCATCAGCGGCAGCGTGCCGTTCTCTTGGGATCTCTACCTTCTCCCATACAACGGCTACACTAGCATCCATTGGCGTTTTTGTGCATGCGAGACGCCTGATGATGACGGCAATGCTTTCCCCGCTTGAACCGGTAGCATGCAGTACCTGTGGCAGCCACATGCCCGAGAGTGATCACACACATCCCACCACGTCCTGAATTGCCACCGAGGAGTACCGAAGAGCCCGTGTTCCACGTTCCCTTTGGTCTGTTGACTAATTTTGATGAGTTTGTTCATAAAGATTCTGGTGCGACGCTATTCCCCAAATCAGGGGGAACTGGCTGGTCTCAACTGCTGTTTCATGAAAAATTGTTTTGCTTGGCGGGCCAATCAGAAAATAAGCCCACGGTGTGGAAGAATAACCCCCCCGACTCCCCCGCCCGTGTTCCCCCCCCTCCCGATCGTTCGTACCACCGCCGGATGTGCCTATTTGTAACTTCTGTATCAATACCCACCTTGCTCGATTCCGTCTTTTCAACCTTTAACGCAGCATGATGGCGGCGGAGGGTGTGACTTTTGGGGAGCTTGACGGCACCGACGTACGCGTGGGGATCATCTCGACGAGGTGTGCGGGCTTGATCTGCCGACAGCCGCTCTTGTCTCATTTTTTGCGAGCGCGATGGAAGTGCGTGTAGACGTACACGCCCCAACCAACAGATGGTGGTAGACAGTAGAGAGACAGTCAGCAAGCGGTGGTGTAGACAGCCAGCAAGCGGTGGTGTAGACAGTCAGCAAGCGGTGGTGTAGACAGCGAGCAAGCGGTGGTGTAGACAGCGAGCATCACACTCATCTTCTCCGACTGCATGCGCCGTGCAGAATGTAAGCTGAAAGCAGGGTGACAGCGTGCCATGGTGTGCGGGAGTTGGCGAGGAGCTCTCGAGACCTCCCGTAGTATTCGGGCGGGGGTGTTGTGCCGGGAGGTATCATGTACCACGCCGCCGCCGCCGCCGCCGCCGCCGCCGCCGCTGCTGCTGCTGCTGCTGCCCAGTTCCGGTCTAGGAGGCACCGATCGATGTTCTGTCTCCTAGTCGCGTCTGGGAAGGAGGGGGAAAACGTTCTTCTTTTACGGCATCATATCACCGCCGTCATATGGGGACAACCGCAAAAGGATGAGGTGGCTCAGGCAGAGTTCCCTCCTTTCCGCGTGTTCCACCGACCTCACCCCGACCCTGTGCCCCTACCTGTTGTTTGATTCCTTTTGGGCTGTTGTTTGGTGTCCCTGCCGTGTCTCCTGTGTGTTTGTGTGCGTGCGGAGAAAAGGTGGAACGAGGAGATCGTGAACCGCTTAACCGACGGCGTGAAGGAATCACTCAAGGTAGATATTAGTACGATAGGACAAGAGGGAACCACAGAGAGATAAGGGAGAGAGACGGTGGTGGTGGTGGGCGTGGGCGATTATTCTTAGGTTAGCCCGTGTTAGTATCAGCAGTGGTAGTGGCAGCTCGGGCGTATTCTTGACGGTGTAGCCATGGCCAAGTTGTGCTCGTTGTGTTTAGGGTATAAGTCTTCCTGCAGCTCTACCTACCTCTACCGGGGTGTAGGTTGGCGGGCTCTAAAAGGCCCGGGTTGATTTTTGACGGGTATGAGGACACAGCTAAGGCATTGGGACGCATGGACCGGGAGGGGTTGGTTTAACGTCGGCGCTGGTTGGTGCCCTGCCGTGCGGCTTTCTATCCCAACGACCGTGGAGCGCCTGCTTTTTGTTGCTTGAGTTGGCGGATCACGGTCGTCCGGGACCCCGTGCTTAGCGATGTCCGCGTACTATAATAGCTGTTATAGCTCATGTTTGTGTGTGTGCTTATTATTAGCATCGACCGCACTAACCGGCTGACCAATGAAAAGACGTCAGTGTCAGTGCGGTTGAAAACACAAAACACTTCTATCTGCCATTAGCTGTGTGCGTGTGTGTTTTTTTTTTATTATTAGCATCGACCGCGCTAACCGGCTGACCAACGTGTGAATGTGTGTGTGTGTATTGCCGTCTTAGGGTGGAATTCCGGTATCGTGTAACCGTTACGAGTGTTGTTTGCCAGTGTAGTCTGCGATGGTAGACTAGTAGACAAATGCCCCCCCTCCCCCCCCCAACCCCCTTGGCGCCCGAACTTTCGTGATGCGACGGTGCCCCCACCAGGAATGTAACGTTACGGAGTCTAACATCTTCGAGACGAAGGTGCCTGGAGCCTTCGAGCTACCGCTGGCTGCACGGTGAGCAAGCAGAGTTGCTCGCACGGACGGTACACAGCAGTTGTTGGTG